TAAGATTTATTTTTGATTTTGTACACATGATTTTTATTTTCTTTGGAGTTACACATCTTAATGTACATATGCTTAAATACATAAAAAACAATCTTAAAATAGTAATGTCACTTAATGAAAATACTAAAACTACTAGAAAACAATAATTTTGCCAAACGATTACCATGAATCATCTTCCAAAGCTGTGACATTATATTGTTCTTCGATACCACCTTCGTCTCCATCCTCCACTTCAGATTCTTGTTCGTCATTGTTTCCATCCGCCGTTGCAAAGCCCATACGCCTATGTTTCTTACCCAAATGGGACTTCATGTGTTTCTTGAGATTCGCCTTGCATTTGAAACCCTTACCGCATTGCGAACAATGAAATTGATTGACCAATGAATGTCTGGCCAAGTGTTGCCTTAAACTACCCGCAAATGGAAATGATTTGCCACATTCCGGACACAGATATGGACATTCACCGGTATGCAGATTCATGTGATCGTTGAGCGTTTGTACTGTGGTAAATTTTTTGTGACATACTTTGCATTTTATATCACGATGAACGCCCATGTGACGTTCCAAATGATCGGGCAAACCAAAGGTGCGATCACAGTGTTCACAGGCATATGTTATATTGGGATGTACCCGCTTAATGTGTTCACTTAACGTTTTCTTCGAGATAAACTCCCGATTACACTCCAGGCAGGTGAAATTCTTCTCTGTCGTGGTATAATGCCTTTTACAATGGGCCGACAATGAATTACGATTACCAAACACCATGGCACACTCGGGACATGTGTAAACGGTTGGAGTTGGGGGTGTGGTGGTCGTCTTCTCATTGTCTGCATTTTCATGAAGTTTCATATGATTGCGATAATTTTGCTTGGAAACAAAACGATGTTTACATATTTCACAGCCATATTTTTTAAACACTGAATGTACAATACTGTGACGTTGCAGGCGATATATTTCACAGAATTGTTTGCCACACTCCTCGCATGTATAGAGGCCATCTTCGGGTTTAATTCTATAAAGGGGAAATTTTTGTTAGGACTTAGTTTGGAAATGTTACAAATCCATAACTTACTTTGAATCCGACAAGTCCATTTCATTTTCAGCAAGGACATACCAATTATTGATATCTTTCATATCATAGCTATGTCGATTCTTTAAATGTTCACGCATGCGTATAATGCGATCATAGATTTTGCCACAGTCTCCACATTTAAATCGTTTGCGTCCGCTGAAATCATTTGTAATAATATTATAAACATTTTATGAAAAACTTAAATTTTTTACCCAATCTTAATAATAGACAAGGGATTTGGATCAGCATTTGTATCTTTGGTTTCTTTAGAATTTTCGCCAACATGAACGTCTGGCTCATTTTCTTCTTTGATCTGTATCATTTTGCTCATGGCCTTTTCGTATTCTTTTTCTTCACAGCGTCTCTCTTGCATTTCTTTATCTTTCCTAGAGGAAAATTGTTTAAAAATACGTATTAAGCCAATAAAATATGTATTACCCACCTCATTTTTTCCCGTTTCATAACATTCCCACTGCCATCCACGATTTCCACCCATCTTTTGATATCATCAATGGAATATCTATGCCGCCTTTCCAAATGATCTTCGATGCGTGATACCCGGTCATATTGTTTTCCACACACGGCACAGGTGTAACGTTTTTTGCGACTGAAAAGTAAGATTTTTAAAAATTGTTTTTTTTATGTTTGACCCTCTTTCCTCCAACAACTTACTCAACTTGAATTATTTTAAGCGGCAATGTGGACTCACAGTCCATAATTGTGTTTTCATTCTCATCGATGTCTTCTGGTGTGATCTCATTGTCATCATCATCAATGTTTTCCGACGAGCTGTCCAATTCATCAAGTTTTTTCATTGAAGCTTCAAGTAATTCCTCTTCTTGGTGGATTTCATTGTCTTCTTCGCTGAGATAGAGAGATAGTGATATATAAAATGTATGGTATAAGGACGGCAGCTAGGTAATTGAGGAAAACAGAGTATAAGAGCTTCAGGGCTTAGACAATTGAAGACTCCAACACATCTAAATGAGAAAAAGAAGCTTAGGTCTTTTTATACCCTACACCACAAGGTGGTCAGGTTATTATGTCTTTGTGCATTTGTTTGTAACAGGCAAAAGGAAACGAGATAGACCCATAGTTCCTTTTGATGATCTGCATAGAATCACATTCTAAGTCGATTTATGTATGTCCGTCCGTCCGTCTGTCCGTCCGTCAAAGTACAGTTCGCATTTATTGCCCTATCCAGATGAAATTTTGTATAAATCATTTGTTTGGCCCAAGGACGAACCCTATTGAAATTGGAGATAATCGGTAAAAATTTAGATATAGCTCCCATATATATCTTCGTCCGATTTGCCTTTTATTGTGCACCAAACGTGTAATATAAGCCCGAATAGTACGGAATTTTGCACATACAACCAAATTAGGCCTGAAAATAAGTATGCCAAATTTGATCGAAATCGGTTCAAATATAGCTATAGCTCCCATATATATTGTTCATCCGATTTGTTATTTTTGTGCTCCGCAGCCGTAATATGCTGCTCTGTAACAACAATATTTGAGGAAATATATCAAATACAGCTCAGAAATATCTTTGCCAAATTTTATCGAGATCGTTTCAGATTTGGATATATCTCCCATACATAACTTCGTCCGATTTACCTTTTATTGTGCACAAAACGTCTAATATTTGCCCAAATTGGATGAAATTTGGCACTTACGACCGAATTGAGTCTAGAAGCTAGTATGTCAAATTTGGTGAAGATCGGTTCAAATATAGCTATAGCTCCCATATATAATGTTCATCCGATTTGTTATATTTGTTACCCACAGCCGTAATATGCACTCCGTAACAACGATATTCAGGGAAATATATCAAATACAGCTCAGAAATATCTTTGCCAAATTTTATCGAGATCGGTTCCGATTTGGATATAGCTCCCATATATATTTTTATCCGATTTCAAATTAATTGTGCACCAAATGGGCAATACAAGTCCGAATTTAAAAGATACAAATGCTTCGGCATATTTAGTCCTTTGAACTTTAAATTATAATTATAGCGTGTATGATTAAATTCTCCCATAAAAACTCTTAATTGTTATGCGGAGCTCTACTAAATTAGCAAAGTGGTGTAGGGTATCATAAAGTCGGGCCCGCCCGTTTTACTTGTTTTGGTAATAGAAATGTTCAAGGTCTTCTTGGGCAATGAAGGCACTTGTCCGCGTCGTCAATATTTTCCCGTTCAAATTTTAATGAATTCCTATTCTTAGGTGTTTGGATTGTTTGATTGTCGTATTCGCTAAGATATAAGACCTCATATTACCCTATATTACTAGGGAAATAGAGCAAAGAATGTCTAAAGACAATTGAAGACGCCTACGTCTTTCTTTGGTAATAGAAGCCCTTAGTTCTGTCTGGGAAAGCGAATGACTTTAGGTCTTCTATAGACCATGAAGTCTCATGGCTTTTGGGGATAGTCTATTCATCTTTACATACCCCAGTATAGTCTCCGTACACTCATCCTCCTCCTCCTGCTCCTCTCTGACTTCCTCCGTTTCCTCTTCGACATGTACCTCCACAGCCTCCCGTTCCTCTTCTTTGGCCTCCACATCCTCATCAGTACAATTTAAGTTATAAACTTCAATTTTCGTTTCTTCCATACTTTCATCCTCCATGGTTAGATCTTCTTTGGCATTCACCACCAACACTTCTTCGGGTGGCGCCAAAATTTGCTGGCGGAACTCTTGATCGATGGCAATGCATTGCTGTTGAAATTGATAGCCAACCAGTAGATTATTGACACACGTCTCACAAATCAAGGTGGAGAACTCAATGTCATCTGTGGTAATGTTGATTTGCGGCACAATGGCATCAATCATTTCCATGATCGAGTGATTCTCATCCACATAGTCATAGATTTGATAGTAGCGACTATCCTCCGTCATGCATGTGCGGCATGATCGCATTAGAGCCGGTCCATTGCTCAGCTCATCGTTTATATCCATCGAAAAGTATTTTCTTTTCAAAATACTACTTAGTTCGCTTAATCTTAATTCTTGTGGAAAAGCCAGGGTAACGCAACAAATCCGCTTGTCTGTAAATCTGTTGTTTTCTTTGCTAAAAAAAATTACTCAATCTTTTTCTTGTCTGATGATGTTGTTGTTGTTGGTGTGCCTGTTGTCGATTGGATGGAGGATGTTGACTTGCTTATTTTCCTGGGCCCTTTGTCCAGCCAATGTGTCCAATTCCACCAATCCACTAAAGCTCTGTTCGCTTTGCTTGCGAAGAGCGCGTGGGAAACAAAAATGAAAGACGTCCCCAACGAAACGAATAAGAATTCAAAAAGGAATGCCTGATAAAAAAGAACGAGAAAGCAAAATCCCCACCCGCCGAGGGACCTCTGTTGTTTACGAATGAGACATGAGAAAATCGAACCGCTGGACACATTCATTAAATGGACCGCGGGAGTAAGTTCCTTCAACTCGAGCAAGATATCGGTCGGCTTTAGGTCGTCATTTTGACGCCGTTAAGAATGTAAAACTTAGTAATTTTCGATCTAGGGAACACTTATGTTTTTCGGCATTTCTATTGTGATTCCTCACATTTATTCTGATTTCTTTCAGTATTGTCTTTCATCGCAAAGTTGCCATATCGCAGTGTTCTTTGTTCGTTTCATTTGTTTTCTTTCCTCGGAAGCGTCGTTGGTTGTTCAATTGCTAATAAATAAATATTTTAATGTATAATTCACTATGAAAAAGTATGAAATATATGTGTATGTGTCATTGTTGTGATTGTGCAGTAGCAACAGCAGCAGCTGAGCCAGTAAATATCACAAAGTACTGCGTAAACGTTATTCATGGCGGCTAGGGAGTTTGCACTTGCAACAGTCATTTTCGATCTGGGGAACACTTATCTTTTCGGTCTTTCTGTTGTGATTCCTCACATTTATTCTGATTTCTTTCAGTATTGTCTTTCATCGCAAAGTTGCCATATCGCAGTGTTCTTTATTCATTGTTTTCTTTTCTCGGAAGCGTCGGGTTGTTAAATTGCCAATAAATTAATATTTTAGTGTATAATTCGCTATGAAAAAGTATGAAATAAATGTGTATGTGTCATTGTTGTGATTGTGCACGCTCGAAAGCAGAATAAAACATGAATGAGATTAATACATAGTCTCCAATTGAACTTTGTTTTTGAGGCTTTCTGTTTGGTGTGTTGTGCATGCGAAATATACAAAGGGTGTCCCAAAATTAGAACGCAATTTTTAAATTTTAAATAAAATACGGATATTTAAAAAAATCGTGAAGCCTTATTACATAGCAAAGAATGACAGAATAAGGTTGGGTATGGAACAAGATATCTGTGCAGATTTCACGACTGCGTTCTGTTTGAGACACCCTTTACATTTTAATCATTGGGAAAAGTTCTCCCACCATTTTTTACACTTGTATTCATTACTTGAAGCCTGTAGATCAAGCCAAGGAAAAGAACTCGATGCCGTACTAGCTGCTGAGGAATTTAGCTGAAGGAGTGGCCAAGGAAGAAAAATTCCTTTAGTATAGATAGATTCATTCTTTGCTTCATATCTTCGCACTCATTTTCATTCAGGTAAGGCACATACAATACATAATAAAATTCATGAATAACTAGATTCTTCTCCTCCATAGTTAGTTCTTAACGATTGCCTCGACTATTGTGGCTTAAGGATTTACAAAAACAATAACAGAACACATTAATTTAATGTAAAATTGGTAGTGGTGGCAGGAAAGAAAGTATCTTCCCAACATGTCCTTAGATTTGACAACATTGTGTCGCACCTGCATGGATGGTGACAGCAAGTACTATCAACTTTTGGATTATGTCGATGAGCATACCATTTTAGAAATGTTACATGAAATTGTGCCACAAATTCACATCGACCACGAGGAGGACACTGATTTGTCGACAATAATTTGTGAAAATTGTGTCGATAAACTGGTGACAAGTTATAAATTCCAACAGATGTGTATGGACACCGACCATCAGTTACGTCAATTAATTGTGGCCTCAACGGAACTCATTGTGGACACTAGAGAAAATGAATGGCATAGCGATGTGGTGGAATATAAGGTGAATGATGTGGTGGATGAAATGAAAATAGAATTATACGATTTGGATGAGAATTTTGCCGATGTAAATTATGTAAAGGATGTTGGAGGGTAAGGGATTGAGTAGACAATAAGAAATGGTTATGGATTTCTTTTCTTTTTTTTTTAGTAAAAATTACATGGATGCCGCAGAAGAACCCGTAGCGGAAGAGCTTATTGTGGAAACCGATGGCGAGTCTTCGGACTTTGAGTAAGATTTATTTGAAATAATATCATTGAAAATTAATTAAATACTCGAAACATTTCAGCCAAGATAATGAATATGTTGGAAAAAGTAAATTGGAGGGAACAGAACCCTTTAAAATAGTCAAACAAATGTAAGTTTTTTGTGAGTTCAGTTATATGTCTTTTTCAATTGATATTTTAAGATAGGTATATTAATTAACATACACGCTATGATTATAATTGTAATTTAAAGTTCAAAGGACAAAATATGCCGATGCATATGTATAATTTAAATTCGGACTTGTATTGCCCATTTGGTACAAAATTAATTTGAAATTAGATAAATTTATATATATGGAAGCTATATCCAAATCTAAACCGATTTCAAAAAAATTTGGCAAAGATATTTCTGACCTGTATTTGATACATGTCCCTGAATATCGTTGTTACGCAGTGCATGTTACGGCTGTGGGTAACAAATACAACAAATCGGATGAACAATATATATGGAAGCTATAGCTATATCTGAACCGATCTTCACTAAATTTGGCATACTAGCTTCTAGACTCGATTCGGTCGCATGTGCCAAATTCCATCCCATTTGGGTAAATATTAGACGTTTGGTGTACAATAAAAGGTAAATCGGACGAAGTTATATATGGGAGCTTTATTCAAATCTGAACCGATCTCGATAAAATTTAGCAAAGGTATTTCTGAGCTGCATTTATGAGTGCATATTACGGCTTCGGAGGACAAAAATAACAAATCGGATGAACAATATATATGGGATCTATAGCTATATCTGAACCGATTTCGATCAAATTTGGCATACTTATTTTCAGGCCTAATTTGGTTGTATGTGCAAAATTCCATACTATTCGGGCGGATATTACACGTTTGGTGCACAATAAAAGGCAAATCGGACAAATATATCTCCCATATATATATCTAATTTTTTACCGATTGTTTCAAATTTGGAAAATTTCATCTCAATCGGATAATAAATTCGACCTGAATTTTGTTCACAAGAATACATGGATACATACGAACTGACATGCGTTTTTGCCTTTGACATCATGTTTTGCCTTTTCTATTTCAGGTCTAGAAAGAAATATATCTGCTCGTATTGTGGAAAATTCTTTGATCGAATTACCCGTATCGAACATCATTTGTACATTAAACATAAATACAATTTATCGGATCTGAGGACGTATGTACAGCAATTGGTAAACAAGGATGATGATGATGCCCCATTGAGTTGTGAGGAGAGTTTGATAGTAAGGTAAGAGATTCTATAAACCTTTCTTTTTGTTATCAAAAACTCAAATATTTTCCTCCTTTTCAGTCCTAAACATTTTCCGAGTGAAGAATTAAAAGAGCAGAGTTATGGCATTGAATCGAATAAACAAAAGAAAATACAAATCCAAAAAGAGAATACAAATCCGAGTACAAACTTTGATGAAGAAACCGGGCAAGAAATTATGGACTATTTCGAGGAAATCATAGAAGATAATGAAGCCGAAAGTATGACCTATTTGGATAATGAAGATGAAAGTAAGAGCAATTTCGATAACGAGGGCGAAAGCAATACCTATTTGGAAATTGATCAATGTCCTGATATGGGGTAGGGAAATAGTAATAAAATCAAAATCTTTATATTTTGGAATTAAAACATGTGTATTCAACTTCAATTTTAGTGATACGAACTCTGCCATTATGAATGAGCCAGACGAATCAGTTGATTATATGGACAACAATTTTAATGAGATTGAACGGTATTTGTTATTACATTTTCCTTGGAAATATTGTCTAATTAAGTTTTGTTTTTTTCTTTTTAGACCAAAACCCCGTGGCGGCGGCCATTATCCTTGTGAAGTTTGTGGCAAAGTTTTCAACAACCCCTCACGTTTACGCCGTCATAGTCCTGTCCATTCATTGGACAAACCGTATGCCTGTGAAATATGTAAACATCGTTTCACCTCCCTATATTATTTGAAAATACACAAGGAGTCACACAACAAAGATCACAACAATGAATCCGTTCCTCCAGCCGATGGTTATAAATGCCCAGAATGTCCAAAACGTTTTCAAAATCAACCTGCCTTGGCCTCGCACCGTCAGGTGCATAGCCGCAAGTTGTTGGCACGCAATGTTATTTGTGACATTTGCCAAAAGGGATTTTTGACCACCAAAACATTGGTGGATCACATCAAAGCAAGACATCCAAATGCCAAAAAATACCAGTGTGATCAATGTGATAAGAAATTCCTCTTGGAGGAGCGTTTAATGAGGCATATGGCAACGCACAAGGATTTGATGTGTAGCATATGCAACAAGGAATTTACATCGGAGCCGACATTGAAGGAACACATGAACATCCATTCGGGAGCATGTCCCTATCTCTGTTCAGAGTGTGGCAAGGCATTCAAATTTGCCAGCAGTTTGCGCAAACACATCGAACGGCATTCAGATGTTAGCAAACATCAGTGTCCACAGTGCCCGAGAAGTTTCAAGTGTCGCAGCGATTTGAATAAACACATTAAAATCCATTTGGGTTTGAAACCATATAAATGTGATATATGCAATTCGAAATTTACACGGGCGTTCAATTTGGAGCAACACAAACGTTTGCATGGTGAGCAGAGTTTGCATAAATGCGAAGTTTGTGGGGTAACGTAAGTAGAGCATTCGTTGGAGAATTTGTAAAGAATATTTTATAACCGATTTTTAATTTTTAGATTTTCCTCATTAAATCACCTAAAGCGCCATGTGAAAACTCATACATCTGTGAAGGAGGATCATGAAATTGAGGAGTTTTAAAAGTAAATAAAAAAGAAATTTAAAAAAAGAATGTTGTTTTAGCTATTAAAATACTGGAAGAATTTTTATTTAATAATAGTAAACAATATTTAAAAATTGATGCATATGCTCCTTTTGTAAGACTCAATAGTTTATAAAGTCGTTAAGAATTTATTTATTTATTTGAAAGATTTCAAACAAAAAATCCATGTTTACATCTTGAAACATATGTTTGCCACAACTCCTTAAATATTGACAAATATTGAGCTTTTTAAAGATGAAAAATAGCCTATTTTAAAACGCTCATAACTCCTTAAATATTAACATTTCGGGGTTTTTAGCATCGTTTTGATTGCAGTTTCTTTATAGCCTGCTTTAGAACGCTCATAACTCCTTAAATATTAACATTTCGGGGTTTTTAGCATCGTTTTGATTGCAGATATTTAAAGAGGAAAAATAGCCTATTTTAAAACGCTCATAACTCCTTAAATATTGACATTTCGGGGTTTTTAGCATAGTTTTGATTGCAGATATTTAAAGAGGAAAAATAGGGTATTTTAAAACGCTCATAACTCCTTAGATATTGACATTTCGGGGTTTTTAGCATCGTTCTGATTGCAGTTTCTTTATAGCCTGCTTTAGAACGCTCATAACTCCTTAAATATTGACATTTCGGGGTTTTTTAGCATCGTTTTGATTGCAGATATTTAAAGAGGAAAAATAGGGTATTTTAAAACGCTCATAACTCCTTAAATATTGACATTTCGGGGTTTTTAGCATCGTTTTGATTGCAGTTTCTTTATAGCCTGCTTTAGAACGCTCATAACTCCTTAAATATTGACATTTCGGGGTTTTTAGCATCGTTTTGATTGCAGATATTTAAAGAGGAAAAATAGGGTATTTTAAACGCTCATAACTCCTTAAATATTGACATTTCGGGGTTTTTAGCATCGTTTTGATTGCAGATATTTAAAGAGGAAAAATAGGGTATTTTAAAACGCTCATAACTCCTTAAATATTGACATTTCGGGGTTTTTAGCATCGTTTTGATTGCAGTTTCTTTATAGCCTGCTTTAGAACGCTCATAACTCCTTAAATATTCACATTTCGGGGTTTTTAGCATAACTTTGATTGCAGATATTTAAAGAGGAAAAATAGGGTATTTTAACACGCTCATAACTCCGTAAATATTGACATTTCGGGGTTTTTAGCATCGTTTTGATTGCAGTTTCTTTATAGCCTGCTTTAGAACGCTCATAACTCCTTAAATATTGACATTTCGGGGTTTTTAGCATCGTTTTGATTGCAGATATTTAAAGAGGAAAAATAGGGTATTTTAAAACGCTCATAACTCCTTAAATATTGACATTTCGGGGTTTTTAGCATCGTTTTGATTGCAGATATTTAAAGAGGAAAAATAGGGTATTTTAAAACGCTCATAACTCCTTAAATATTGACATTTCGGGGTTTTTAGCATCGTTTTGATTGCAGTTTCTTTATAGCCTGCTTTAGAACGCTCATAACTCCTTAAATATTCACATTTCGGGGTTTTTAGCATAACTTTTGATTGCAGATATTTAAAGAGGAAAAATAGGGTATTTTAACACGCTCATAACTCCGTAAATATTGACATTTCGGGGTTTTTAGCATCGTTTTGATTGCAGTTTCTTTATAGCCTGCTTTAGAACGCTCATAACTCCTTAAATATTGACATTTCGGGGTTTTTAGCATCGTTTTGATTGCAGATATTTAAAGAGGAAAAATAGGGTATTTTAAAACGCTCATAACTCCTTAAATATTGACATTTCGGGGTTTTTAGCATCGTTTTGATTGCAGATATTTAAAGAGGAAAATAGGGTATTTTAAAACGCTCATAACTCCTTAAATATTGACATTTCGGGGTTTTTAGCATCGTTTTGATTGCAGATATTTAAAGAGGAAAAATAGGGTATTTTAACACGCTCATAACTCCGTAAATATTGACATTTCGGGGTTTTTAGCATCGTTTTGATTGCAGTTTCTTTATAGCCTGCTTTAGAACGCTCATAACTCCTTAAATATTGACATTTCGGAGTTTTTAGCATCGTTTTGAGTGCAGATATTTAAAGAGGAAAAACAGGGTATTTAAAACGCTCATAACTCCTTAAATATTGACATTTCGGGGTTTTAGCATCGTTTTGATTGCAGATATTTAAAGAGGAAAAATAGGGTATTTTAAAACGCTCATAACTCCTTAAATATTGACATTTCGGGGTTTTAGCATCGTTTTGATTGCAGTTTCTTTATAGCCTGCTTTAGGACGCTCATAACTCCTTAAATATTAACATTTCGGGGTTTTAGCATCGTTTTGATTGCAGTTTCTTTATAGCCTGCTTTAGGACGCTCATAACTCCTTAAATATTGACATTTCGGGGTTTTTAGCATCGTTTTGATTGCAGATATTTAAAGAGGAAAAATAGGGTATTTTAAAACGCTCATAACTCCTTAAATATTGACATTTCGGGGTTTTAGCATCGTTTTGATTGCAGATATTTAAAGAGGAAAAATAGGGTATTTTAACACGCTCATAACTCCGTAAATATTGACATTTCGGGGTTTTTAGCATCGTTTTGATTGCAGTTTCTTTATAGCCTGCTTTGGAACGCTCATAACTCCTTAAATATTGACATTTCGGGGTTTTAGCATCGTTTTGATTGCAGATATTTAAAGAGGAAAAATAGGGTATTTTAAAACGCTCATAACTCCTTAAATATTGACATTTCGGGGTTTTTAGCATCGTTTTGAGTGCAGATATTTAAAGAGGAAAAATAGGGTATTTTAAAACGCTCATAACTCCGTAAATATTGACATTTCGGGGTTTTTAGCATCGTTTTGATTGCAGATATTTAAAGAGGAAAAATAGGGTATTTTAAAACGCTCATAACTCCTTAAATATTGACATTTCGGGGTTTTTAGCATCGTTTTGATTGCAGATATTTAAAGAGGAAAAATAGCCTATCTTAAAACGCTCATAACTCCTTAAATATTGACATTTCGGGGTTTTTAGCATCGTTTTGATTGCAGTTTCTTTACAGCCTGCTTTAGAACGCTCATAACTCCTTAAATATTGACATTTCGGGGTTTTTAGCATCGTTTTGAATGCAGATATTTAAAGAGGAAAAATAGGGTATTTTAAAACGCTCATAACTCCGTAAATATTGACATTTCGGGGTTTTTAGCATCGTTTTGATTGCAGATATTTAAAGAGGAAAAATAGGGTATTTTAAAACGCTCATAACTCCTTAAATATTGACATTTTGGGGTTTTTAGCATCGTTTTGATTGCAGTTTCTTTACAGCCTGCTTTAGAACGCTCATAACTCCTTAAATATTGACATTTCGGGGTTTTAGCATCGTTTTGAGTGCAGATATTTAAAGAGGAAAAATAGGGTATTTTAAAACGCTCATAACTCCTTAAATATTGACATTTCGGGGTTTTTAGCATCGTTTTGATTGCAGTTTCTTTACAGCCTGCTTTAGAACGCTCATAACTCCTTAAATATTGACATTTCGGGGTTTTTAGCATCGTTTTGAGTGCAGATATTTAAAGAGGAAAAATAGGGTATTTTAAAACGCTCATAACTCCGTAATATTGACATTTCGGGGTTTTTAGCATCGTTTTGATTGCAGATATTTAAAGAGGAAAAATAGGGTATTTTAAAACGCTCATAACTCCTTAAATATTGACATTTCGGGGTTTTTAGCATCGTTTGATTGCAGATATTTAAAGAGGAAAAATAGCCTATTTTAAAACGCTCATAACTCCTTAAATATTGACATTTCGGGGTTTTTAGCATCGTTTTGATTGCAGTTTCTTTACAGCCTGCTTTAGAACGCTCATAACTCCTTAAATATTGACATTTCGGGGTTTTTAGCATCGTTTTGAGTGCAGATATTTAAAGAGGAAAAATAGGGTATTTTAAAAACGCTCATAACTCCGTAAATATTGACATTTCGGGGTTTTTAGCATCGTTTGATTGCAGATATTAAAGAGGAAAAATAGGGTATTTTAAAACGCTCATAACTCCTTAAATATTGACATTTCGGGGTTTTTAGCATCGTTTTGATTGCAGATATTTAAAGAGGAAAAATAGGGTATTTTAAAACGCTCATAACTCCTTAAATATTGACATTTCGGGGTTTTTAGCATCGTTTTGATTGCAGTTTCTTTACAGCCTGCTTTAGAACGCTCATAACTCCTTAATATTGACATTTCGGGGTTTTAGCATCGTTTTGAGTGCAGATATTTAAAGAGGAAAAATAGGGTATTTTAAAACGCTCATAACTCCTTAAATATTGACATTTCGGGGTTTTTAGCATCGTTTTGATTGCAGTTTCTTTACAGCCTGCTTTAGAACGCTCATAACTCCTTAAATATTGACATTTCGGGGTTTTTAGCATCGTTTTGAGTGCAGATATTTAAAGAGGAAAAATAGGGTATTTTAAAACGCTCATAACTCCGTAAATATTGACATTTCGGGGTTTTTAGCATCGTTTGGATTGCAGATATTTAAAGAGGAAAAATAGGGTATTTTAAAACGCTCATAACTCCTTAATATTGACATTTCGGGGTTTTTAGCATCGTTTTGATTGCAGATATTTAAAGAGGAAAATAGCCTATTTTAAAACGCTCATAACTCCTTAAATATTGACATTTCGGGGTTTTAAGCATCGTTTGATTGCAGTTTCTTTACAGCCTGCTTTAGAACGCTCATAACTCCTTAAATATTGACATTTCGGGTTTTTAGCATCGTTTTGAGTGCAGATATTTAAAGAGGAAAAATAGGGTATTTTAAAACGCTCATACTCCGTAAATATTGACATTTCGGGGTTTTTAGCATCGTTTGAATTGCAGATATTTACAGAGGAAAAAGAGGGTATTTTAAAACGCTCATAACTCTTAAATATTGACATTCGGGATTTTTAAGCATCGTATGTGATTGCAGATAGTTAAAGAGGAAAAAGAGGGTAGTTTAAAACGCTCATAACTCTTAAATATTGACATTTCGGGGTTTTGAGCATCGTTTTG